TCCTTTAGGCTCATAAGTTGCCTCAAAACAGCCAAGGAAAGGACCAATGAGTGTGTACATAGGTCGATAGAAATTACCCAAAATAAAATACAAAGAGAAAAAAGAGTGTGTGGAAGGAATCAGAGCAAAGTGACCTAGAATTGAGAGACAGAATCGAATGGCCTAACATATGTGTAATTAGAGTCCCAATAGAAGACCAGAGAAAGGGAATGGGCAGAAGAAATCTCTGAATAAATTAAATTGAGAATTTTCCAAAAATGATGAAAGCATCAAATAGATCCAAGAAGGTCAAGAACCATGAAGGGACTGAGATTTTACCGAGTTTCGAGTATTCTGCGTCAGAGACAAAGGTCTTTATTATTCACGGCATAGCAGGTAGCATAAGTTTCATGTTCACATTAATTCCTCTTGCCTACCAAGTCCCATGGGGGCAACGTGGAGGTGGGCCTAGATGGATGCTGCGTACTCAGTGGCTTGATGTCACAACTGAGGAACGCTGAGTTTAAGAAACCCCTATGTTTGCTATACAAACATTCTGGAAAAAGATAACCTGGAACAAAAGCTTACAGTGCTTTTACTCAGAAGATGTACAGAAACGTGAGAGCATTAGTAGAATTGTCTCCCAACAGTCTCTGTCTTTTCTTTCTAGACTATCTTGGCTTCTGGCAAATTTTCCCATGAGTATATCACTCATTTGACCACTCTGATTAATCTGACCAGCAGTGGCTGGGACCTAATCTGATTTGTTTCCTGCAGCATTTAATTAAAGCTACCCTTATTGACTCCCAAGCATCAGGTTGGTTTCATCCTACAGTATTCTCAGCTGTTCTCGCCAGGTCTTATGAACTATGACTGTCTACCTTAGAAAACCAAATGGCTTTCTCCTTAAATTGTATGTTGACTTTTCTACTTGGCCTGCGGCATGAATCCAGGTACCGCAGCGTGTATTAGCAACTGCTCACCCTCCACCTTGGCCTGCAACAAGGAAATCTAGGGTAATTGTGTAACTCTGGCCGGTGAGTTGAGGCTGATCTGAATGCCTTCTAGGGTCAGTGAGGTTTCTCTTTGAACACTTGAAGGTCTAAGGGGCCCATTACTGTGTTTCTTGGAGGGAGACAAGTTAAAGCTTGGCTTCCGTAGCAGAAATACAATCTCAAGGGTACATGTGGTATACTTGGAAAGAAAATATTGGTTACAACTGGATTGTTGGAGTCCCTCAAGTGGGACCTACATCAGAAGGGGAGTACAGGTTGACAGTGCCTCTAACATAGCCTCCTAGATGGCTGCTGAGCCTTAGCGTTCCCAGTTCAGTTTGAATAATTAAGTCTAGTCCTTGTTACCCATTGCCATTCAGTCAATTCTGACTCATAGGGAACGTATAGGACAGAGTAGAACTGCCCCATAGGGTTTCCAAGGCTATAAATCTTTATGGAAGCAGATTGCCATATTTTTCCCCCCCAGAGTGGCTGGTAGGTTTGAACCACCAGCCTTTCGTTAGCAGCTGAGCATTTTAACCACTGTGCCACCAGGGCTCCTGTTTGCCTGTGTTTTATTGACTATGCAAAGGCATTGGACTGTGTGGATCATAACAAACTATGGATAACATCACAAAGAATGGTACAGCAGAACACTTAATTGTGCTCATGAGGAACCTGTACGTAGGCCAAGAGGCAGTCATTTGAACAGAACAAGGGGATACTGTGTGGTTTAAAATCAAGAAAAGGTTGTGTCCTTTCACCATATTTATTCAATCTGTATGCTGAGCAAATAACCTGAGAAGCTGGACTATATGAAGAAGAATGCAGCATCAGGATTAGAGAAAGACTCATTAACAACCTGTGATGAGCAGATGACAAACCTTGCTTGCTGAAAGTGAAGCACTTACTGATGAAGATCAAAGACTGTACAGCCTTCAGTATGGATTACACCTTAACGTAAAGTAAACAAAGATCCTCACATTTGGACCAATAAGCAACATCATGATAAATGAAAGAGATATTGAAGTTGTCGAGGATCCACAATCCACTTGGATCCACAATCAACGCCCATGGAAGCAGCAGTCACGAAATCAAATGATGTATTGCATTTGGCAAATCCGCTGCTTAAGACCTCTTTAAAGTGTTAAAAAGCAAAGAGGTCACTTTGAGGACTAAGATGTGCCTGACTCAAGCCATGGTGTTTTTAATTACCTCATATGCCCGCAAAAGCTGGACAATGAATAAAGAAGACCAGAGAAGAATTGATGCCTTTAAATTATGGTGTTGGCAAAGAATATTAAATATTCCATGGACTGCCAGAAGAACCTCACAAATCTGTTTTGGAAGAACAGCCAGAATGCTCCTTAGAAGCAAGGATGGTGAGACTTTGTCTCACGTACTTTGGACATGTTATCAGAAGGGACCAGTCCCTGAAAAGAACATCATGCTTGGTAAAGTAGAAGGCAGTGAAAAAGAGGAAGACTGTCAATGAGATGGATTGACACAATGGCTGCAACAGTGGGCTCAAACATAGCAACCATTGTGAGGATGGCTCAGGACCAGGCAGTGTTTTGTTCTGATGTACATATGGTCTCTATGAATTGGAACCAACTGGATGGCACCTAACAACAACAGCAATGCTTATTATTGGGAGGACTGCCTGAGGGCAGTCAGTTCAACCTGTCCTGTTTGCCCACATCACCAGCTGGGTGGAATTTATCCCTTACTGAGAATGGGAGTGAAGAAAACATCTGGAGGTGATATGCACGGGAGGTACAGGAGCTAGGGCTGATGTTTCTGGTAGACTCTGGGTAAGGTTGGGGGAATGGTGATCATATGGTGGTCAGAGTCATCTGGTTGGGGTGGGGGGATGGCAGACTCAGCAGTCACTTAAATTTAAGGGACTTAACAGTTTAGGAGAGCCACACCTGGGTATTTTCCTTGAGAAGGAAGGCTCCAGGGGGTAGTTGTGAAAGACAAAAGAAATTGTTAAAAAAAAGGCCTTTACCATGGATATCTACAAGAGTAACCCAGACAAAATGTATTTTCAGTTTGCAGGTCCAAGGAGCATGTCTTTAATTTGTCAGTCTGTAGTTTTCCAAGTGGTAGGCCATTGGCAGCAGCCCAAGAATCTGGGTTCTGCCCATCGAACAGAATGACTGTGTCTGGCTTTTGGTTCTACACAGCTAGCTCTCAGGCTGAACAGCCGCTGCGGCCTAGAGGACGCCATTGGCTATCAGCTGATCTGACCTTTGAAGTGGACCAGGCCCAGGCATATAGGAGAACCTCTGCACTGAGGACTTCATTGATCCAGTAGCTTTGCTTTAGACAGTGGAGCTGAGGATAAAGTTTACCTTCAGAGCTGCTACTTTTTCATGTAAAGCCAAGATGCCAGGGGCCAGGTCGGCTGTGTTCTTGAATATACCATTTCTGTTTGACAGACATAAATTTAAGTGATTGCTGAATCCCACCTTCTCAGTCATGGAATTCAAGTTGACCCATCCCAACGTGAGAATATCAGACAGGAGAGTCTCTAGGCCTTTGTGTGTTAACCATTTAGTTTCACTAAGAGCTCAGTAGCAAGCTAGTAGCAGTGTCAGGGAACTCCCTAGTTCCAAACCCCTGGGAGTGCTCCAGGTGGCGGCTGCTTCTTTTTGCCCACGGTTCCAGACTTACACTGTTACCAGTACCCAAAGAGTCTAGTTTTGTTGGGGTTTATCAGCCACTACTGCTGGAGGATGTGTTTAATTTTGCTAGTAGCAGTGTACTTGTTAATTTCTTTGTTTTATGTAAGATGTCAACATTAGTGGAAACTGGATGAAGGGTATATGAGAACTCTACTATCTTTGCAACTTTTCTGTAAATGTAAAGAATTCCAAACCAAAAAGTTTATATATAGATAGATAGATAGATTAGATAGATAGATAGATAGATAGATAGATATAGATAGATATAGATAGATAGAGATAGATAGATAGAGATAGATAGAGATAGATAGAGATAGATAGAGATAGATAGATAGATAGATAGATATAGATAGATAGAGATAGATAGATAGATAGAGATAGATAGATAGATAGAGATAGATAGAGATAGATAGATATAGATAGATAGATTAGATAGATAGATAGATTAGATAGATTAGATAGATAGATAGATAGATGATAGATGATAGATAGATAGATAGATAGATAGATGATAGATGATGATAGATGATGATAGATGATGATAGATGATGATGATAGATGATGATAGATAGATAGATAGATAGATAGATTGATTGATTAGATAGATTAGATAGATAGATTAGATAGATTAGATAGATTAGATAGATTAGATAGATAGATAGATAGAAGCCAAATGTCTGTCTGTAACTTCCTGGGTAAAGTTGAGATGCTTGAGCATAATATTTTAAGACCATTTAAAACTAATTTCAGCCAACCCATTTCTTAACCACTTTCTCACACTCAAATGGTGCTTTAGCCACTAGTCTACTCAGTGTACTTACAACATCTTGCGCATGCCTTTACTTCTCATGCTTTGCCCCTTCTGTGTGAAATGCCCGTATCCCACCTTCCTCACAGGGAAAATTCAAGCCAGGCTTCAAGGCTCTGCTTTAGGTCATACCTTTCCTATTTTCTCATCCTTGCCGACTTCTAAGTACTAGCACAGCATTTCTGTATATGTTTCTGCTTGGGGCTCTTCACAGGTTAGCACTGTAAATGTTGGTATTTGTTTTCTAGAGTATCGGTTCTTTGAGGATGGAATAACATTTTATTCGTTTTTTATTGCCAGTATTTATCTCACTGCCCATATCTAGTGAGTGGTATATAGTAATTGTTCAGTAGATGTTGATGGGCCATGCCATGTATGGTTATGATAGAGCTGTATTTTTTGTGTTCATTCAGATATGAAGTACTATCATTAAATGGACACTTGTGGTTCATATTTACATTTTAGAATTGTATTTTGTGTATGCTCATACATACACTGTAATTTCTTTATTTTTCACTTATGTTTTAGGAGGGCCAAACATGTGGGCTATTACCTCTGAAGAACGGACTAAGCATGACAAGCAGTTTGATAACCTCAAACCTTCAGGAGGGTATATAACAGGTTGGTTTATTATTTTTTTATAATTTGTTTATTAATTATACTCCTTTTCATATATCTTAGAAGTAGTTTTAATTTGACTTCCATCATATTTGCATTATTAAAGTGATAAAATTCATATCAGTCAGAATTCTAGAATTAAAAAAATACTGGTTTATTTTTCCTAGAACTATGTTAATTTGGGGTTTTAGATTTAGCATATGGAAAATCTTTTTCAGAATCTCAAATGATAGTCAAGAATTTCAGTTTAATTATCCAACTTCACATTTTAACATTATGTCTAGAAAGTTTTCAGTTTATTTCATAACGTAATTGAGGTTTTAGTTTTTAAAGCAGATTTATTAATGTGCTCGTAATATGTTGTGCCAGTTAATAGTATAATGGTCAGTATTACTGTAATCTAGTAGAAATATATATCAAATCTTTTTCCTGGAAAATGATGTAGAATTTTTTTCTAGAATCTGTTTTCATAATACTAGCCATCTGTCTTTGAGGCTACACTAAGTACTCATTGTTAACAATAGCCCTTGTTTTGTAGAAAGCACTAAACCAAAAGAGGATTAATTTAGGTGTATCTTTCATATTTTTTCTATAAATGAAACTTATTTTTGTGCCAAAGCATCTTAATGCTTTATTTACAATAATAGTCGCTATATTGGCCAGCATTTACTGAATCTGTACTGTATGTGAGATGCTGTGCTGAATACATCATCCCATTTAAGCTTCACAACAACCCTGTAAGGTAGATACTATTGTTGTCTGTATTTACAGATGGTGAAACTGAGTCTTAGAGATGGTATGTAATTTGCCTAAGGTCACAAAGTTGGTTAGTGTTTGATCTGGGCTTTGAAACCGTTCAGCCTGTCTTTGGAGTCCATCATGTTAATCACTATAAACCGAAAGCAAGCCAGTTGCCCTCGAGTTGATTCTGACTCATGATGACCCCATGTGTGTCAGAGTAGAACTATGCTCCATAGGGTTTTCAACACTGTGACCTTTCAGAAGCTAATCACCATGCCTTTCTTTCGAGTCACCACTGGGTGGGTTCTAACCACCAACCTTTCAGTTAGTAGTTGAGTGCTTAACCATTTGCGCCACCTAGGGATGTTGACTCAATCCACTGACATCAAGTCAATTCCAACTCATAGCAACCCTATAGGACAGAGTAGGAGTGCCCCATAGGGTTTCCAACGCTGTAATGTTTACAGAAGCAGACTGCCAAATCTTTTCTCCTGCAGAGTGGCTAGAGGGTTCAAACCACCGTCCTTTCAGTTTGTAGCTGAGTGCTTAACCACTATGCTACCAGAGCTCCTTGGGACATTAACCGCTATAGTTTAATGTTATTTGTACTTCTATAATAATTACTTTAATTGGTGACAGGGTTGGACTTTGATTACCCTAAAACCAAAAAACCAAACCAGTTGCTGTGGAGTTGATTCACGATAACCCCATGTGTTACAGAGTAGAACTGCTCCATAGGGTTTTCTTGGCTATAATCTTTAAGGAAGTGGATTGCCAGACCTTTCTTTCTCAGCACTGCTGGGTGTGTTTGAACTGCCAACCTTAGGTTAGCAGCCGAGCACAAACCCTCAGTTTGGGCCACTGAGGCACCTTTTGATTACCCTGTTTAATAGTTAATAGGTTACCTGTTATTGTCTCATGGATGCTGGCAGAAGACCTGAGATTCCTGAGTCAGAGACAGAGGACTTGATTACTCATGGCACAGCCAACAACTTTATTTATTTATTTATTTTTAGGTTTTCATGGCCTTTTATTGCATGTTAAATCTGATCCAAAGAGTTGCATGTTTTGTCTTTTAACTTCCTCAAACATCTGCTTTCCTTTGTTTTGTTTTGTTTTTAATTTTTTTTTATTGTACTTTAGATGAAGGTTTACAGAACAAATAGTTTCTCATTACACAGTCAGTACACATATTGTTTTATGACATTGGTTAACAAC